GGGGCCGTGCGCTCCCAGGCCCCAGCTCCTGACCGGGTCTTGCTCCCCTCGGGGCCCGCGACCGGGGCTCAAGACCCCCGCGCAGCGCGGGTGGCCACTGGGCTCTGCCGCCCGCCCGCCCGCCGCCCTGCGCCTCCGGGCCAGAGAGAGGGAGGGGGCTGCGCGGCGCCGTCGTCATGGCACCCGACACACCTGTGCCCGCCAAGCGAGGGCGCCCCCGGCCCATCTCCCTCGTGGCACACTCGTGCAGGGACCGAGCACCCCTCCAAAGTAGGGGACACACCCCACCGTCCACTGCAGCCTTGGCAGCCACGTCCAATAACTCCGTGCCACTCTCTCCGTGCCCCACATTCCCAGCGTCTGTCCCGGCTGCTCGCCCTTGTTCCACCCCAGCCTGACGGGAGTCCAGGACCCTGGGCCCTCCTGACAAGGGGATGAGAGGTAGCTGTGAGTACAGGGGAAGGCCATCAGCTCTGAGCTCTCCCCGGAGAACAGGAACAAGGTGTCTAGCAGGTGGCCACTGGCTCTGTAACTAACCAGGCACTCACAGGACATGTACCTTTGGGCAAGCTTCTCATCCACACCAGTCAGTTTCTGCATTTGTAAAATGGTTTTGAAGGGGGTAAATGTGATGATGTCAAAGCTTCTGCCCAGCACATAAAAGATGCCCCAGAAATGGTCCCTCGAGCTGGATTGGAGACTACTCACCTCCCACCATCTCTAGCCCGTCAGACGCCCAAGAGACACCACCATAGATTGTTTTGTCATGTGAATAAAGATCCCAAGTTCTCGGCAGATAAAAGAAAGTGAATGGTCCATTCCTTCCTTTATTAGGAATCAGGGGTTTGTTCCAGGGGACTCTGGGGAAACGGTTCACACCAGGCTCCTTCCTGGTCTCGCTTCTCTCTAACTCCATCTCTGTTCTGAGCAGCTGGCAGAGTCTCAGAGCTGAAAAGGCCTTAGAGGTCACTGAGCCTAATCCTGACACAGGGCAGATGTCCTAACACACTCCCCAGCAGTGGACACTTCCACCCTCACATCACTCCCTCTTCCCCAGGGCGAACCTTTGGAGAGCAAGAGGGGGAAGGGTGCCCCTCAAGTTTGCCCTTCTGGGAGAAACACCCGAGTTTTGTTGGGCTTTTTTCCTTTCTATAAATTGCCTCAGTTTCTTCATCTGTAAAATGGGGATAATAATAGTACCTATCTCCTAGAGTCGCTGTGAAGATTAAAGGAGTTACTATATGTAAAGCACTTGGAGCAGTGTCTGGCACATAGCTAGTATCCAATAGACATTATTCATATTGTCACTTCCTCGAGTACACCTTCCCGTGGAAGTGCCAGCATTTCTTGAAGTTCCTCTGTCACTCAGGACCCAGAACACAACATGTCATATTAAGCCCCCTTGACCAATGCAGAGTTCAGGGCACTGTGTTGTAAACTCTGTATGGCCCAGCACTGCCATTTACTGTATGTGTGACTTTGGGAAAGTTATATAACCTCTTTGTGCCTCAGTTTCCTCTCATCTACCAAATAGGGATAATAGTCTCTACCATGTAGGGTTGTTGTGAGAATTAAATATATGTGAAGCACTTATGACAGTGCCTGGCACTGTAGGTGATCAATAAATATAAGCTGTAATGACTGGGGTGCTAGACTTTGAATAATGCAGTCTCACTTTTTCACTTTTCCCCTCCTTTTTTCTCCTTCCCTTGCTTCTTTCCTTAGCAGCCACATCATTTTAGTACCTTGTGGTCAATACCCCATCCACCCACCCCCCCTTTTTTTTTTGGCAGCTGGCTGGTACAGGGATCTAAACCCTTGACCTTGACTTTATAACACCACACTCTAACCAACTGAGCTAACCAGCCCGCCCACCATGATCTTTTTTATTTGAATAGTTCCAGATCACTGGACCTCTTTTTCTTCCTTCTACAGACTTTCTTCTTCCAACATCAGAACCTTTGTACAGTGCCCAGGTACATGTGGCACCATGCAAAACAAATTCAGGGGATCCAGCCTTGGAAAGCAGGAAAGGCAGTGCCATGGATAGAAAGGCCTGGGTACTAATTCTGTCCTCACTATTCATCTGTGGGACCCAGGTAAGTCACGTAAGCCCTTGAACCTCATTTTCCCCATTTATAAAATGGAATTTATGTCTCTTCTCAAGGCTGTCATGAGGATTAAAAGTCAAGTGCCACTAAATACAGTGCCCTTCCTCATCCCCAAGGTTATGACTGAGGCCAAAAAGATATGTTGGGCAAAAGTCTCTCAATGCAGATGAAGAAAAGTCATCCTCTCCTTGTAGACTGTGTTCCCCTTGAAATCCACATGTTGAAGCCCTAACCCCCCAATGTGACTGTATTTGGAGATAGAGCCTTTAGGAGGTAATTAAGGTTAAATGAAGTCAAAAAGGTGAAGCCCTAAGCGTATAGGACTGTGTCCTTAAAGGAAGAGGAGGAAAGGTCTTGTGAGGACACAGCAAGAGGATGGCTGTCTGCAAGCCAAGGAGAGAGGCTTTAGGAAAAACCAACCCTTTCAGCACCTTGATCTTGGACTTCCAGCCTCCAGAAGTAAGATAAAATAAATTTCTGTTGTTTAACCCACCCAGTGTGTGGCATCCCTAGCAAATTAAGGCACCTCCCTACCCCGAAGGGTCTCCCAGGCAACCCGAGGCACCATTATGCTCCATCTCAGACCATGCTTTCCTCCCAGGTTCACCCAACTGCAGGGCTGGGCACTTCTCAGGCTTGAACCTGGGATCGAGAGCCCTTCAATCAAATAAGGCACTAATGCCCCATTTTATAGATGAAGTCATGGGGACTAATGCCTCACCCTTATTACATAGCTGGATAGTGGAAGAAAGAGGCCAAGAACACTCCCCTAGACTTGTTGGGGCACTGACCTTGCCATATCCGTCTCCCCCTCAAGGATCTGGTCCTCTGGGATCATCTGAGAAAATGAAGGGTGCAGTCATCCGGTGCATAGAAGCAACCCCTGTCCCTCTTGAGGAGCCCCAGAAGTTCTGTGGCCTGCAGGGCTCCCACCTCTGTCCCCGCTGGCAAGCCTTTGGCCTGGCCCTTCATTCTCAGGGAGCTGCTCGCCATCCCACCCCACTCCCATGTGCTCAGGCCTAGGGAGCCTTTTTTCAGAAACCCCCACCATCCTGGAATCTGATTCCCATCTGAAAAGCTGGAAGCCAGGAGGTGGCAGGATGGAAGTGGAATTGAGAAGGTCCTTGAAGGGACAAGAGCCTCCTGTATGGACCATATACTGTACCATGCAGACACCTGCTTGGAGAAGCGTCTAAGAGGAGCAGGGAGGAGGCGGAGGGTGATCTTCTTAGAATCAAGCTTTCTGGGGGGCAGCAAGGGAGGGCAGAGGGGATGACAGCATGACTGCAGGACTGCCTTTCTTCTTGGAGAAGGCAAAATAGTCACCGCCACCCTAAGGGAGGGAAGGTTTCATGGTCTGTGGTAACTTGGAAGAAACCGAGGCATAGCAAAGCAATCCAGCTGAGGTCCAGAGCCGGCCAGTGGGCCACATGTTGGGCTGTGTGAGGTCATGTCTGGGAGTCTCCGGCTCTAGAACAAGCCCTTCTTATTGAGTAACCTTGGGCAAGTTGTTCATCCTCTCTGGGCATCAGTGTGAAAAGGGAGGTGGGATTAGAATCCAATCGTTTGGTGATCACTAATCTGTTCTCATGGGATTCTGTGAATGACACTCCCACTTTAGCTTCCAGTGGACACAACCTGGAAGTCAGTGATCATCCTAAATCATGAATCTCATCGTGACCCTCCCATTTCCATTTTGGTTTAAACCTGAACTCCTCCACAGCCATGCAAGCTGCCCATGACCTTGTCCTTGTCTCCACCCTCAAAGCCTACTGTTTCACCCTCTACAGCCGACACTTTCCTTAGTGCTCCATGCGTT